TCTACACCCCAGCAGCAATGGGAAACCAATGCAGAGCTCAGGATTTAAGCTGAAAAGAGCCCTCTGTGGTGTGGAGAATAACCAGAGGGGTTGGCCTGTGTAGGGTGAGTGACGAAGCTGGAACCAGCAGAAGACTATGACACTTTAGCCTGTGGTGGTGGCAGAAAGTGGAGGCTAAGAAAGCAAGTCAAGTAATCATTAGGAAGTAAAATCAGCAGAGACCTTGTGATCAATTGGATAAGCGGACAGAGAGACAGGGGACCCCAGGTCCCTAGTTTGTGCAAATGAAAACACAGCATTTCTATACACGGAAAAAAGGAACAACGGAAGAGGGCCAAGATTGAGAATGAAGGCAGTGAATTCAGTTTCAAAAATATTGAGTTGGAGGCAGCTTCAAGAGAGTTAAGAGATTTCAGGTTTGCTGTTGGAAATACAGCTCTGGAGTGTACGGGAGAGGTCTGATTTGGCAGCAAATGAGGGAGCCGCTGGCATATGGATGATGATTGAGACCAATTCCATGGAGAAGATTGCCTTTGTGGGAAAATATAGAGTAAGAGGAGCTGAGGGCCAAGACTTGAAGAATCCCATTGTGCAGATGTCCCCAGACAGAGGAAAGGAATCTGGGAGCACAGGACTGTGCACTGGGAGAAAGCAGCATCATCTCCCAGCAAACAGAGAGGGAGGGGCGTTTCAACTGAAGAGAGTAGTCAGGAAAGTGGACTATCACTGCGAGGTCAAGGGAAATGAGAAGTGAAAAATGCCCATTGAATAGAGACATAAACCCAAGGTCAATGGGGACCCAAGCCATAACTGTGTCTATGCGCATATTAAAGGAACCAACACATGGGTGCAAGGCACCCCATGCAGCGACTGGCACATAGTCAGCCCTCAGCAAATGTCAGCTTTTGTTAAATTAACTCTTTAACATCTATACATCTAACATTCTCCTATTCCGTTGAAGGGAGAAGAAAAGGAGACACAGGTTAATATCTTAACAGGAGAGTTTGAGATTAAACCCAGAGAACTTCCAGACAGGAAGGGCTGTAAAATGCCCATAAAGGCTATTAAAGAAGACGACAGAACTCTGGATAAACTTAGGCTCAGGACAGATTCCTAGGGCTGATGCAGCTCTTCCTGGAGACAGGGGACCCACCCCAGTCATCAGGGTGGGTCATTTCTGCATTGGGTGGCCTGAGTCCTCCCTCCCCTGCCCCCATGGAGATGAGAGCCGTGCTGTGAAGGAAAAGCCTCCTCATTTCAATGGTTGGGCAGCCCAGGTTAACATTAACAGAGCCCTCCAGGAGAAAGCACCCAGAGGACAAGCACTGAAAAATATGCTTGAAGGGCCAGCCAAGTGGTCAGGATTGCAACGTGATGCCCAGCTTTGGGTCAGTAGTTGGGGGTGGGTGGTATTAGTCATCTCTTCAGACCTCAGCTCCATTATTTTTGCCGGAAATGTGAGAACAGCTCTCACTAATAACGTGTGGAATCACTTCCAACTATTTGCCTTTCAAGTCAGCCTCCTCAGGTCGGGTGACATATCTCGTTTAACAGGGGGTGCCATTAGAGAGAAGATTTAACGTGTGGCTAAAAGCATTTGTAGCGAGAGCTGTGGGTGGGTTCCTTTTTAAGCTTCTGTGGCTGGTAACTTGCGTCTCTTCGCTCCTTGCTGTTGGGTTTTGTTATTGAAGCCTTTTTCTTTCCTGAAGGAGGTTGGTCATTAACTCTCCCCTTCCCAGAGGATCCCCTGACATGAGCAGGGCAGGTCGAGAGCTGAATTAGAAATCTTTCCTGTGCCAGTCAGAGACTGCATGAAGCTTAGCAGGCTGGCATAATTATTCAAAGCTTCTTGCTATCCTCGTACCAATGCCCCTCCTGCTCAGATGACCTGGTGTCTTTTGATATTGATGTCTTATAGCAATAAGCTTAGCCTTGAAAACAGAACCACAGACTTACCAGCCCACGGAATCTATCTACCAACAATATGAGTCCTGCCTTTTCTCATGCCTTGAGAGGGCCAACAGCCATACTGGGACCAGTAGAAAGAAGAGGGCTGAGAATCTGGAAGAAGAACTTGTTATTTTACTAAAACCTCCTTTCTTGACATTTATCCCTAAAAGCTGGGACCATTTAAGGCCCTGATGAGCTTCTGAAATCTCTCCTAGAGCAATCTTCCCAGCTCCCAAAGTCTTAACCTCTCTGAGCCTTGGATTCTTTATCTGAACACAGAGAGAATAACAGCTACCTATCAAATGAAAGGCTATAGTTAGAAGCACTGAGAGCACAGGGCTTTGCGCATGGGAGGGGCTCAATAAACACATATCACTTACATCTTTTTTGGTTACAAGTTACAAGTCATAGGAAATCTAGCCAAAGTGCCTAAGTAGAGTGGATTTATTGGATTGTATAATTAACAAATCCAGAGGTAGGCCTGGCTTGAGGAATCTAGCTGGTGGCTTGGGAAATTCTCTCCAGGGTCAAGTTCACCTCTGGCCAACCCCTGACTGGGCTTCCTACGTCCTGAATCCAGGTCATTCAAGGCTTAGTGGCAGCAAGATGGCAACAGCTATTTCAGTCCCAAGTCAACAGAAAAAAGGCTGCTCTTCCCCTACCTCACCCACCAACAATTCACCTAAGTCCTAAGCCAGACACTCACTGGGCAAGTCTGGTTATGGACTTATCCCTGAGCCAATTGCCAAACCTTAGGCCTTGGAATGTGATGACTGGGTTTACCCCTGAATCTCAAACTCCACCTGAAGGAGAAGAATGAGGGAGGGGGCCTCACCAAACTCAAGCTGAGAGTTGCATGGAAGAAATAGCAAAAAAAAAAAAAAAAAAAAAGGTATAGTGTCACTGTCAAAAAAGTGGCCAGGGAGGATGTTGGGGTGCCCAAACATAGAAATATCCCCTGCAAATAATAATTTCCCTTCCTACCCCATGTGTAAGATACGGGTTATTTGAGAGTATTGTTTAATAAAGATATATCAAAACTTTTCAGCAAAGTGCCCTCTTCCTCATATATTAGTAATATATTGATTACACCCATTATAGTACTTTTCTCAATCTGACTTCTATTAGTTACTTACTATAAGGCTCTGTCACCTCCATTGCAAATAAGCTCCTGGTGGTCAAATACAGGGTTATTTTTCTCCTCACCCCATGGAGCACAAAGCACACAGTGAGAAATCTGGGTGCTTCCCAACCCACACTGGCTCCCTTTATCCAGTTCAGCTCTGTTCTTCCCTTTTCTTCCCCTGACCACTTGGTCTACTTGGGATTAGACTGGGAGGGACTAGTGGATTCCATGAAGTCGAAGGTCAGAGGTTCCCCAACTCACCCTCTCTCTTGCTGGCATCTGCCTCTGTTATAGCTTCTCACATGTTGTACCTTGGGTTGTTTTCCTGGTTTCCCACCAAGAAGTCGTCTCTGGAAGTGAGTAGGGCCTTACCTTTTCACTTCTGTTTCCTTGGTGCCTAGAACAGTGTCTGGCTCCAAGAAAGCACCCAATTAAGTGGTATAACCACTATGAGTGATTCTCACTCATAATTGCCCCTCATATTCTCAAAGAAGAGCCTCATCTATCAAGGCTACTGAAAGGGAAGGTACTCAGCTCGGGGTGAAGGTGAGGGATTCGAAATCTAGAGGGCTAGATGCAGAATACATAAATAGGGAGTGGACTGTAAAGCTCACTGTTGTTCCTTGCTTTTTATCAAGACAGAGAAGATGCAGAGACAGGATAGGTAGCCTAACAGGCTATAGGGAGCAGACTGAGTTACTAGAGCAGGGGGCCTTCAGCTTGACACGGTGTGCAGCTGGTACCCATGGGGAAGGGGGAGATGAACAATTAGTGGGGGGCTAGCAGCAGAGACCCTCAAAGGCAGAAAAGCAATACAGATGTGGCTCTGAATAAGTAGCCTGGCAAAGCATGATCTCAGTAGTGTCCTGAAGCCAAGAGGAACAGGCTCCAACCCCTGGGATGTGGGTGGGAAAGGGCCTGAGAGGAGGCTAGTACCTCGGTCAGATGGAACTGGAGCTCAGGGGGCTGGAGTGCTAATTAGGAAACCAAGGCAGAGTCCCAGCACTAGGAATGGAACCACTTTAGTGGCGATCCAGGGGAGGGTGTTTGCCACAAACGTACTGGATCCTGAATCTGTGAGCAGACATCTGAGTACAGCACTTCCCCTACCAGTAAGAGGGAGGTGCTAGTGCCCTCCTAGCCCCATTAGGGCAGGTTCCCTAGCTAGGTGGGGCTGAGCTTGTAGGAAAAAGCCCTGCAGGGCTGGGCAAGCCAGGACTGATGGCTGGGCCAGGTGAGAAAGATTTCCTGCTGGATTTGCAGACTGAATATGTGTCTGGGGCCAGGGGCTGAGCTGGGGCCAGGCGCTGAGCTGCCGCCAGCACCATCTGACCTCAAGGATCCCCCTAGTCAACAAGCAGCAAGAATAGGAGACTCCAGAGGCTCCCTCAGCTTTAGAGAAAGCTCTGCAAACAAAACTCAATTTTTAGGGGTTAATCTTCAGCCCTAGGAGAAGGCAGTGGGCCTCCTCTGAAGGGCCGAGCCAGCAAATGGGCTGAGACTAAAGGAAAGGCCCAAGGCTGCAGGCCTGAGATTAGTTTGGCAGCAGCTCCAAAGAGCAGCCCTTCAATCGCAGGGATTGAGCCCTCAAAAGCACTGGCTGCCTCCCACCAGTCCTGCTAATGGGGCTGAGCTGTTGGAGACATGACCTCTGTCTACCCCCCTGATGATCTGCTGCTCTGAATCTCACTCCCCCAGCACCCAGGAGGACCAAGGACGCTGTCTAGCTTATGTGCACCGTGGCCTTGCATGTTTTCAGCACCTACTATGCGCGCAGCATCGCCGCACCTCCCCATCCCCCTGCCTGCTGTTACTCTCACCAGCACACCGAGTCAACCCGTGGACTAATTAGTGGCTAGGGCTACAGTATGTATGCATGGTGGGGTGCAGAGAGTGGGGTGGCCAGCGGGTGACGGTGAGGGGAGAAGAGAACAGGAGAGAGGAGGCTGTGGTCTGACCTTCCTCCAAAAAGCCCGGAATCCCTGAGTCGGTCTCTGGCAGCTGTGGAACAGAGGGAGCATGGGATCTGAACCGTGCCGCCATCTGGGAGATCACACACACAACCAAACCCCGGAAGGAAACTCGAGCTGAAATACACCGTTTGCTAAGGAGCTGGACTGGGCACTAACTTCGTTCTGAATTTCTAGAAAGGGAAAGCTCTCCCTTTCCAGGCGGCGTCTACCACCCCTTCCCACCGCCGCCCCTCCAGCCCACACCCTTTCCTCTCCTAAACCCCCTGTGAGGACCCTCAGCAAACTTCCGCAAGGCCTGACGAGCCCTGGGTGCGGGGTGGTGTGGACGCAGATCTTTCGGTCCAAAGGGAAGGCTGCGGGGGCGTGGGCGTGGAGGTGCGAGGAGGGCGCAGCCTCCGCCTGCCTGGCTGTCTCCGCGGACCCCGCCGAGGGTGGGAGAGAAGCGCTGGGAAAAGGAAGGGGAGAAGGAGCCCGAGCAGTAGGCGAGTGAGCGGTTGTTTTGCTCCTCCCAAAGAGGAGGGCGGCTCCGCTGTGCTCCTGACAACCCGGCCGCCGCCGCTGCCGCCCTGGCACCGCTCCCCGGGACCCGTTGGCGCTGACACTGATGACCGGCGGCGGGGCGCGGGGAGAGGGGCGCGCAGGACACCGGCCGCCGGCTCTCGGGCCCGCTCCTGTCGCCGGCTTCCGCTGCTTCCGCTGTAATGACACTCGGCGGAGCGGCCGCCATCTCTTCTGGTACCTTCACTGGAGGAGGGAGGGAAGGGGAGAGCCCTCTGTCCACCCACGCCCTGCCCTGGCGCTGGTCCAGCGCCGCCAGCTGCTCTCGCTCTGGCCTGAGCTCAGCCGAGCAGCTGCCTTCTTCTGACCTCCTAGACCCTCCCTCAGCCGCGAGAAGAGGAGCTCTGGCGACTTCCGGCCTTCCCTGGGGGTCTGCGCAGGCCCCTAACCCAACCCGCCCAGGGAAGAGGCGTGAAGGGGTTGGCCGTGATGCAGAGGCGGGAAACTCAGGTGGGATGCGAGGGTGGAGAACGCGACGCAGGGAGGCGGGGTGGACCCCCAGCGTACTCCAGTAGTCGGCAGGAGCTAACCCCCAGCCTGCAACCCAGGTATCCCTGCGGACCACGAGGTGCCACCCAGCCCTGGTCGCAGAAAAAACCGAGACTCTCAAAACGGAAGGCCCCCACCCCCCATGCCAGGCGCCCAGCCTGCTCAGCCGAGCCCCAAGACGCAGGTTAACCCTGCCCCAGCTTCTCCCCTTGGCTTTGGACAAGCCCCTCTTCTCTTCCCCAATGAGAACCACCGCTCACATTCTGAGGGCTTGCCTCCTTGGTGCTCAGAGCTCCCAGGATGAGTGATCCTCTGCCAGGGGTCCTTAGCTACCTGCTTTGGACAAGGATGGACAGATGTTTTCTCAAGCTTGCCTAGAGCACAGCGTCTAAACAGATGAGCTCTCCCCATGTTCCCGGCAGATTGTCTGGCCTAAGCTCCTTTGAGGAAATAAAGATGACCATAGCCAAGCTGCCCTGATCTGCAGGAAGGACCCTGGGCGCCCCATCCTCAACTCCCCATCCGCAACTCCCCTGCCTTGTGCTAGAGATCAGCATATCCATCCAGCAACTCCTCTGCCCCAGACTTACGTGATCACTCCAGTCCACACTGACTCTCCTACCCACCAGAACTGTGCACTTAAAATCTGCTGCACACAATCCCATACTTGCTTGAGTCTAGCTTTGCTCTCCAATAGTTTCAAATGCCTATGTTTGACTCCCTCCACCAGCCCCACAGAGATAAGGTCATCACAAGCAGTAACTACTGCTTTGCTTGTTTTGATTCCCACAGAGCCAAGCACAGACTGATGTGGCATAAGTGCTCGATAAACACCCATGGACTTGGCTAATGGATGGACTTGGAGGGGACACTGCCCGATCAGATGAGAAAGGTGGCCTTACTCGCATCTGTCCTACCAAGAGGAACCTAAGGTCCTACTGCCTGGGGGTGTCTCAAAAATCGGCAGAATCCAGTTCTCCCCCCACCATCCATCCTTCCTTGCCTCCAGCCCCCTTGGCTATCTGGATCCCCGCGGGTTTGGAGAGGCCGATGTTTGTGGCTCTTACCAACATCAATTTGCAGTCGCCAGGATGCAACTTCACCCTATGCTGCGTTCATAAATTAATCTCCTGGGATTAGATTCTGTGTTTTAGTAACACTCCTGAGGCATTGTATTTACACATTAATAATAAAAGAAAAAAAGTGAGACAAGTTCTGACAACTTTCAATAACATTCAGAAATAAAGTGTGAGGCGCGGAAGTGTCCAAAGTTAATTAAAACCATTTGGTGCTGACGGGGGCTGGGGGTGTTGCCTGCCAAGCTCCGACAGGTGCTATTTCTGAAATGCAATTTCCCTGTCTATAATGTACCTGATGCCTGCAGAAAAGGAGAAACTGAAATAAACTGGACTGGCAGCGTGAGCTCGAACTTTCTCTTGTTTTGTTTTGCAGTGCTGTGGACACTGCCAGAATTTGTCAAAGGTCCTAGGAAGAAAAAGCCCTTGCACCCCTCTCCTCAGTGAGCAGATGGTGTGTTTGGACTGTTCACATCTGCTCCTCATAGGTGGGGTCCTGAAGAAAGTTAAGGGGCACTCCGTTCCTTGGGGATGGGACAGTAGCTCACCTTTTTACTAATAGCCATAAGGGAGTGTCAGACATTTACCTGACTAGAATTTCATCTCCATGGTCAGAAGGGGAACAGCTCCAGAACTAAGAGAGGGAGCCTCTGGCAGACCCCAAAAGACAGCATATGGAGTGAAGCTGGGCTTCCCTGCCCAATCACTAGTATCGCTTATTATACAAATACCTTTATTTTAAGCCTGCAGATGCTTGTGAATTTGTGTATTTTCTTCATTTTCATTTTAGTTTTTCTCAATTTTAGAACAGCCTTTCTCTAGATAACTCAAGGAAGCTGGAGAAGGAATTCCCTTTGTTTCTGTCTTGAGCCCAAATGGACCATTGAGTGTCAGGAATGACCGGGATAAAGGGATAAACTCAGAAGGAATGTTTTTGTTTCGTTTTATTGTGTTTTGTTTTGAAATGGAGCCTCTCTTGTTGCCCAGGCTGTAGTGCAGTGGCGCGATCTCAGCTCACTGCAACCTCCACCTCCCGGGTTCAAGTGATTCTCCTCAGCCTCTCAAGTAGATGGGATTATAGGCACGTGCCACCACACCCGGCTAATTTTGCATTTTTGGTAGAGATGGGGTTTCACCATATTGGTCAGGCTGGTCTCGAACTCCTGACCTCTGATCCACCTGCTTTGGCCTCCCAAAGTGCTGGGATTACAGGCGTAAGCCACTGCGCCTGGCCAGAAGGAATGTTTTGGGTGCTACACGTGCAGCCCCTCACAACTGTATCTTCTCAGAGCTCTTTTCACATTCCTGAGTGCTTTGTGTTTTGTTTATTTAAGGGACAAATGAATCTCTTCCCACTCCATGGGATTTCCCTTGATTTTTATATTGGGAGTGAAGAGATGAAGCATGAGACTTCTCAGCTGCATCCCAAACTGCATCTAATCCCAGCACATCTCTCTCAATCTTTGATTAAGTCTGTTCATCTAAAAGAGAGACACAGGGGAAAAATGGAAATGGGACTTTGGAAGGAGAATGACCATCCTCATTCCCATCACAGCCTAAGATTTCCTATCTGACTAAGATTTTCAGTAGATGGCCCTAGGTCTAGTTTCCCACTTCGGACCTGTTGCCTTTGGCTCCAATAGAGGACTTCCAAGTAACTAGGAAGATTTCACCTCTCTTTTGAAACATAATGGACAAATGCATTTCATTAGGATGAGAGGTGTGCCTGGCTAGATTCAATCTTTATTTTCCTAAAATAAAGATTAGGACAATAGGAAAGATTAGGGAAAATAAAGATTGGGAAAAGATTTAGGAAAATAAAGATTGAATTTAGCCAGGTGCACCTCTCATCCCAACCCACTAACCAGGAGGAAAACTCAAAATAAAAAGAAATACCACATGGGCAAAAGCTCTCTCAGTACAACTAATATGGACACTCAACATGGCCTTATAGAAACTTATCCCTCTCCCAGGTCATATGTTTGTCAGAATTGCATGCCTATTTCAATCAAAGAAAAGTGATCTGATCTCTTCAGATGAAGGTAGGACTTGGAGATGCTGCTGCCTAGAGTTAACTTGCCAGAAAAAGGGTAAGCATTTGGGAAGTGGGGGGATGGGGTACAAGGAAAGACCTATCAGCTAAGCAATGGCAGGAGCCCTTCTGCCAATGGGCTGGCTCAGGGAGTAAACTTCCCAGAACTTTGCTTCTCTCTAGAATCAAAGTGGGCAAAATGATTATTTGCCTGGAGTAAACCAGGTTGAAACTGAGAAGGCAGACATGGGTGTTATGCCAGATGAAGTCATATGCTATAAGTAAACTATGTACCTGTAACCTTCCTGGTAGTTTAAATTGCACCAAGTAATTTATTCATCCTCTCTAAACAGGTCGTAATAAGTGTTAGTCTGTGATCCACTTTGGAGAGAAATTTCTGGAAAGAATAGAGGCAGTGCTACAGGGTCCGAGGTTGTTATTTAAAGAGATGAATGTGGGCCGGGTGCTGTGACTCATACCTGTAATCCCAGCATTTTGGGAGGCAGAGGCAGGAGGATTGCTTGAGGCCAGGAGTTCAAGACCAGCCTGGCCAATATAGTGAGACCCCCGTCTCTACAACAGATAGAAAAACTTAGCCAGGCATGGTGGCAGGTAGTATAGTCCCTGCCACCATGGGACTACAGCCCCTGCAGTCCCAGCTTCTCAGGAACTGAGGCGGAAGAATTGCTTGAGCCCAGAAGTTTGAGGTTGCAGTGAGCCATGATCGTGCCACTCACTCCAGCCTGGGCAACACAGCAAGACCTGAATCAATAATAATAATAATAATAATGATGATGATGCAACACACACTATCTTTTACCTCTTGAGCAATGAATGCAGATGCCATGACCACATCTGTTTATTTGGGACCAGGGATGCTGGCAGTGAGGATTCAGGGTGTAAGCAGCTGTGTACCCAACACCTATTGTGAGATGTGGCCTGGAGAGCCCTGAGATTTCCTGGCCAGGCTCACTCACTACCCAGATAACCTCCTCCTGCATGGCTAGTCCCTCAGCCCCTCCAAGGCTCACTTCTCATACATCGGAATAATCCACATCCTCCACCTTGAGTTATTCCTTACAAGGTTTGCAAGTTTTCCCAGGAGGAAAGGAAGGCAGGGTTGAACCCACACAATTCTGAATCTAGAATCTGGAGGATTTCTAAACCACTTCTGTAAGTCAGCCCTTGAGAACTTGTAGATTTTCTCATCACTTTCAGCATGAAAGTCTGGAGTAGACTGTCCGGATTTGACTCTTGGTTCCTTGGGCAAGTTACTTAACCTCTCAGTTGTGCGTCAGTTTCCTTATCTAAAAAGTGTGGTCAATAATAACTGATCTCTCGAAGGTATTGCGAGGTTATTGTGATGATTAAATTAGTTGACTCATATAAAATGTTTAAAAGAGTGCCTGGCATTATTATTAATAGTAATAAGTTTGGCGTAAGTCTTGCCTGCTGATAAGGAGCTGGATTGAATGACTACTTAAGATTCTATTTCTTGGCCTTCTCTTCTCTAGACTAGGTGACCTCAACTTTCTCTTTACCCATGAAGAATGTATCCCAGTCTGCTAAGGAAGAGAAAGCCCATGTGTGCATGTACACACATGTACCTGCACAAACATTTACACACAGTTTTGCTCCTCTATACAGAATTAATAGAGCTACTAGACTGTCTAGGAACTGACCTGAAAGAGAAAGGAAACACTGTTGATATAATTGATAGGTTTATATTCGAAAAGTTGCTAATCTTATTGCTGTGAACCCCTGCCATCTCTAGTCCTGCCCATCTATGGGTACTGCAGACCAAATTACAGATTCAGATTTGCCCCATTCCTGTTCCTGTCTTGACCAATCCTCGTAACTTATTTGAGACCCAGCCCCACCTGCAATGGAGGGTCTATAATTGGCCTTGCTTCCTTAAGCTGGATACCCAGTGGGTCCAGGACTAAACCTCATAAAGCTTTTAAAGGTCCACTGAGATTAAGCTTTCCTCCCCCAGTGGCTTACCTTATCTTCCTAGTGACCATGGCTAGATTCTGTCTAGTTCTAGAATTGCACTCTAATTCTCTTCTGGGACTGTCACACTGACCTAAATCTCTATCTGTTTTAAAACTTTCCAACTTATCTGTCCAATCCCAATCCTTTTTCTAAATAAATTGAACTTTATCTTGATGAATATTTAATGTTCAACCCACCCCTGGTCCCTGGCTAGAATCATCTCTGAAATGTCTAAAGCTCTGCCACTACCTGCACCAGGAGAATCAATGTATCACCACCAACCTAATAGTGACCATCAGCTTTGCTGGAGATTTCCATTCACTGAACTGAATCTGTCAGCTTTCCCTTGTTCACTGCGACACAGATTTGGATTGGGCACCATCACTTAAGAGACAGTGTTAGCACCAGTGTGAACACTACCAGTCCCTGACCTGCCTGTAGTTAGCTTCCTCCTCTTTCCCTGCTGACCCACAAATTAAGTTGCTGCACGCCCTGGGGCAACACCTAGGGGTATGACAACTAAAAACTAAGAAACTGCATACTATACATGCAATTTGTCTGTGTTCACTACCCACTTGACATTTCTACTAGGATGCTTGCAAGACACATCAAACTCAGTAGTCCAACACCAAACTCATGATCTTTTGCCTAAAACCATACCCCCCTTCCACTCTGATACTCCTCTAATCAGTTTTCCACACTACAACCCAAGTGATCTTTTCAAAATGCAAATCTGTTCATCACACACATACACACTTAAAACCCTTCATTAGCTCCTCGTCATCCTCAGCATAAAGGCTCATATCCTTAACACAGGCTCCTCGTCCCGTGTGTTTGGACCTGGATGCCCTTCCAGCCTTCCCTGGCCTCACTCTCCCTCTTCCCTGATATACTGCAGCCACTAGGGTCATGTTACTTAGCACTTAGGTCACTCTGCAGGGAATTACATAAAGGCACCCCTTCTGGACAGCCCAGTTGGAAAAAGATGCCCTTTCCTCTAAGCTGATGCAGCGTCTCATGGGGGCTTTCACTTGGCAAGAAAAGCAGAGCTGGATTTCAGCTCCTACTCTGCTTCCTCAGCCCAGCTGTGCCCTGCTGGTCCACAGCACAGCCTGTGCTGGCCACACCAGTTGCCTGCCTTCTTTTAGGTACCCCAAAATACACCATGTTCCCTCCTCCCACTGGCTTTTGCTCTTGCTACTTGATCAACCTGGGATACTCCCCCTCTCTTTTTATCCAGCAATCTCCTACTTAACCCACAGATCCCAACCCAGTTCTCACATCTTCAGGGAAGCCTTCCTGATCTCCTTGTTTCCAGTCAG